TGTGTGTGTGTGTGTGTGTGTGTGCCCGTGTGTACCATTTAAGGCTATGATCCATTTCAGCCCAGACAGTGCAAAGCGCCCCGGCATCAACACGCCACCGCACCTTAGGATAAGGCATGACTGATTGCCCTCAGTGTAAGTGAGATGGACACTCTTCTGGTGTCCCAGTGTTTGGGTGGGGTTGCGTTTACACACACACACACATGCAAATCTATGTGTGTGTTCCTCCGGCACCTGTTGGCTAGGGTCCTGCAGCGCCACCTTGGCTGAGGGTGTGTTTACAATCTGACCCCCCTCCCAACAACAGCTGAGTGTCTCCACTGTGCACTTGCCTGCTAAAGACCCCCCAAACTGCAGTCGTACGCAATGTGAGTTTTTTTTATTTATTTAACAGACGGTCTGTGACCTCACCGTCAGAGTAATCTAACTATGCGTGAAGATGAAGGGCTGCCTCAAGGCCATCTGATAAGTGTCCTTGTGTTTGCAGCACCAGCACAAAGAAGTGTTGAGTCATTTGTAAGACTATGCCAGAGAGAGGGAGTCACTGTGGAGCTAGGTGGGTGACGTGTGACTTTCAGACAGGCACACTATGTGAGTATGCAAATGTCCGAGTCAGTTGCTCAGGTAATTTTCCTCAACTTTTCGTGGATGTAAACGAGGCGTCATACACGTAGAAGACGCTGACAAATATGGCGACTTCAAAGCTTTAGGCAATCAGGGCTGACTTCGGTGTTGATGTCCTGTAAACTAAGACATGTGATTACTGCAGCGGAATTTATATGACCTGTCCTGCCATCTGCAGGCCCACCCAGGCGACAGAGGAGAATCTCCTGCTGCAGTTTATACTGTGAGACACAAGCTGTTTGCAGCCATCCTTTCTTCTGTAGGCAGTGTTGTCATTCTTTCAGGTTCTCGTGACTAAAGGGTTAAATTACCCGAGTGCCCAGAGATGAGGTCATTCAGGACAATACACTGTGGTTATCTTTTTTCCTGCATGGCTCCACGTGTGTTGTGATCTTGTGCTTGGAGCCTGGTGACTTGATTTGACTTTGACTTTGCTCTGATCCTCTGTGCCCTCCTCTCTCTGTATGAGGTCCATCATTAGAGTTATACTTAGCCTCGCTTATCAGTTCTGTCATTCCATGGGTAAGACCACAGATGTTTAGAGGTTTTTAATAGCTCAGTGTGTGGTAGAGCGTAGACACAGGATCTCAGACGGGGGCAGATATTGACAGGTATTGGGGCAAACATGTCCTTCACATATCAGGAAAATGCCCTTGGGATCAAAATGAATACAGAGGATTCTGGGGCCTGTGGGGATGACTGCGCAGTTTTTGACAAGTTGATTGATAATAGAGCATTTGAGTGTGGAAAAATACATCAGAAAACTAGAATGGGACTGAGTAGAGAGCATACCACCGCATCGCATCCATCCTTCCACCAATCCTGCTGAAAAACAAACGAACCAAGAAATGAAAGGACAGGGGAGAAACACAACATCAGTGGGGGAGGAAAGATGAAGACTGAAGAAACGTCAAAGCAGTGTGTAAACATGTTGACCTTTGCATACTTCGGAACTAACAGGGTAAAAACAACTAATATGATCAAAAAGGCAAAACAAGTGGACGGTTGATGGGGAAAAAAAAAAAAGGAAATTTCTTCTCTGAAACGAGGACGGTGATGTGCCGCAGAAAGCTCTTTGACTTTAAACATTAAACTTTCTGTTTTAAAAGATTTATCAGGAGTGGCACAGATGCCATCCCCCAGTCTGTGGTGCAATATGAGGACAATCGTGACTCCTCTATTTTAGAGGGGAGAGGTTTTGTCATTGTAACCACTATATATTATGTTTACAGTACACAGGCGTCATTATGAAGGCAATGCAGGGTTCTAGCGGCAGATGTGTTGCATTATTGGCCCCATGATGCCGTTTACTGTCAGGATAGAATGAGCAGTTGCCGTCTCACCACAGACACTCTGACTTTCCATTCTGGGAAAAGCACAGATGGCTCATTTCTAGCCAAAACAGTGTGCACAACACCAGGAAATTAAATTTATGAATCTTATTATTTATCTTTTCCCAGTGAGAAAGGTCTACTGTTGATTTCTGTCTTGGTTTTAATCAGCTTTGATATATAGGAAGTTTGTGTTATATAATGTACAACCCACAAAGTACATCATGGTGTATGTGTCATCTGCTCAGTTGAAGAATAACAATGTTTCTATTTAAAAGTTTCTACACCCACATAGGTGCCATCTCCTTCCTTGATTAGCTCTCATTCCTGAACTGTGTACACGGACTGTGTTTGATTGACATCTTCCATCTCTCAGCGCCGCCCAAGTGGCAACATCCCGGGCTGAGCGCTGAAGCCAATGCGGAAGTGCAAAAAGCTGCAGTTCACTGGGTGGCCACTTGAGGCTGGCTCCAAGAGAAAAAAAAGCCCGACTTTAGAGCAGAATTAAACGTGTTTACAGCCTGTTTGCATCATGGTCTCAGTGTCATTACTCCCGTGTTCAGTATTTGCCTCATCAGGTGTCTCTACTTCCCAGCATGTCAGCTGTCATTGTGGCTCATATCTATTTATGTGACAGATATACAGTTCATAGGATATGCCTCAGTTTTATCTCTGCGTCTTAAGCTGCAGGTAATGTTACTGCGTCGACCTTGCACTTAAACCAGGTCACAGGGTCGCGCTCCTTAAAACCTTTAAGGCTCATTCAATAATCCTTCGAGGCTTTGAGTCATGTGATATTATAGAGTCTTTATGTCCTTGGGATCAGACAGTGGACGACACGTGCTGGAGACTTATGGTGGACCACAAGTGTCATGAAAATGGAAATAAATCATTGAATTGATCAAGTTTGCATTTAAAATAAGTATTAATAAATTAGTTAACAAATTATTGTATTACTAAAGAAGTAACTAAACTGCTAAGTAATTCATTATTTTACTTTTTATGGGCATTAAAATCTATTCTTTGTCCATTTATTTATTTCGCCTGTTTATTCATAGTTAAACAAAATAATGTGTTAAGAAATATAAAGCCTTTTCATACTGATTTCAAGTCAAAGCTCTGACGCTCAAAGCGCTGATGGTTAAGCTGCTGTGAGACCAGAGACATTTGAATTATTACTTAAACACATTTTAAAACAAATGCGTTCCTCAGTGTCTGTGAGGTCACCTGCACAGACAGGAGAGTGATATTCAAATACTGTGTTTGCATGGCAGGCTAGATTGCAGCATCGTCTAACGTCCCCACATAATGGCTTTCATTGTGTGGTGATGGCTCTCTGTGCTCAAAGCAATTAGGACAGTAAGTGTATTTCCAGCAACAACCGCCCCTCAGTTTATCAGAAGGCTGCTGAGGTCAGTGGAGATGTGATTGTGTCAGCTTTTTCATCAACTGACTTAACGGCTCTGAACTGTGGGAAAAATTGGACACAGATCACCTGATGTGATGTAAGGACGCCTTGTTCGTCTTGGCCTGATTTGAGACAGGTTTCTATTTTTCTGATAGATGACACAAATGCGTACAATAATGTTGGTTCTCAAAAAACTGCATGTTTCAATCCA